GGGGAGGGGGGGGGGCGCCACAAAAGAAACCAGTTCCACCCTCTAACCACAAGAACGAACAAAACAGACGGACAGATTGAGGGTTTTGAGTTTGAGTAAAGAAAAGCAAATCGACACAATAACGCCAACGGTCATATAGTGCAGAAAAGAAGAAAGACAGAAACAACATTATCATTATATCAAGCAGGACCAGTGGCGCCCTCCAACCACCCACTCAGACAGAGGGATTCAAAGGGGAGTTTTCTGAAGGCCCATTCAGATCGGAGTGAGTGAGTGAGTTTGTGAGTCAGTAGTGAACGAGTGAGTGTGTACATACGTACGTACTACGTGCGTACGCACGCGCACGCGCATTGTCCGTCTGTGTCTCTCTCTCATGATTTTTCCAGGTGCCTTTCTTTGTACGGCATTCTCTTTATTGGACAGCTTTTGTTTTAGTAAGTGTTTTACGGCACTTGCAACACAATAAAGTCATATAAGTGCCGAAGATTAGAGGTGTTTCAAGAGAGTAACACACAAAAAAGGAGGGGAGATTTTTAAAAAAGATTAGAATTTGATTGGAAAGAAGAAGCAAACCCCACCAGAGCAACCGCCAACCACCCACTTATTGGACAGCGCGCGTTCGTCAACCAGCCAGCCTGTAATAATATATTATTAACAGACACGTAAACAGTCTGACGGGCAGACATATATAGTGTCCGCGACAATTTCCACTTCTGTTCCCCATTTGTAATTAAATAACTTTTTTTTAATAATTGAAAAAAATCAGCTAGCACTGACACGAGCGTGCACTACAAATTCGTATTCAACTCTCCGTTGCCTACTATAATTATCTCAGACCACAGGCCACAAAACACAACGGCAAAGTGGCTACCATAAATGCAGCATTAATACTTAAGCGACAGATCTCATTAACTGATAAAACTTTCGCTGTAAAGAAGTCGCGACCAGCTGAGAGGCAGAAAGGAAGTAGCCAAAATGCTCGTGTGTACGTGTGTACATTAAAAAAAAAAAGAATATATATAAAAACGAGGATCTGTAGCCTAATTGCTATGGTCACTGAAAGCTAAATGTAAGGTCTAGTGACACTCTAAACGCATGACTATGTTGGCTGACCGTAACAATAAATTCAATTGACTTTTTTACTTTTTTGCTTCTCCCAGCCTCTGTTTTTCAGGGCTTTCTTTCACTTGATATCTCTTTCAGAATACATTTATCTCCACACACACACACACACACACACAC